TGAAAAAAACTTCGCTTATACATATCAAATAATTATATTTTAAGTACGTATCGTATGCATGTTTGTGTGTGTGTGTGTGTGTGAGTATGTACAAAAAAGTGTGTGTGCGAGCCAGGCCTCAAAGTAGGCAACGCTTTAGCGCAGCAGTTAAAAGTAGACTGCGATAAATGGCACAAGACGCTTGGCGTTAGACATATCTAAACTAATACAGAGTCTGCAGAGTTTCAATAATATCGCTAAACTAATGGAACACACAATCAACATGCTGTTTGCAAAAGATCTTTGCTTTCCTCGAAGTGTGCAGGATTTATTTGGAAGTTGACGTACGTCTCAAGATCAAAAATATATAGATATACATATATATTTCGCTTTATTTACAACTTGTCATGCGTTTGTTGTAATTATAACTATTCGATTATTAAATAATATAGGCATACAGGTAGTTAAACATATGTATATCAATTGTTGCAGTATAATGTACTTATTTAGTGTAGCATAACAAATGAGCAAATTATATCTTATAGGGGCTAAGCGCACAAATGAAATATCCACAAATCGTTTTTAATAATAATTGTGATGATTTTGCCTATATACTGTGAAGCATATATAATATCCGTATAGATAAGTTTATAGAATTTCAATCGTAATTACTTTGACTTTGACTTTTACTTTTTGTGGGCTTTAACTGGAACGTTTAACTGGGCCAATTCACGTAATATAACCAATGACTATATTTATGTATATATATATATATATATGTTTTTGTTTTTGTATATACTATGTATATAATACCTAAACATAGACCACGAGGGCTAAAAAAAAGTAAACATACAATCTTACATATATAAAGAGAGTGCCGTTAGTTATCATAAGTATAAGTAAGAAATGGAAAGCAACCAATGAGAACTTGTACGAACGCAAAGTATCTCGCATCTGTTTTCCATCCTGTACAATACATGTATATATATATATATATATCTTTAAATAGTGTATATCCCTAGTAACTAACATGGTAGTTATAGTATTGTAAATTAATAGACACCATTTGCATATAGCATTAACAACGTTTTGAGTGTTCGCTTTCTGGTTTCCTCATTGTGTGCTCATTAATTTCATTCATCTTTTGCATCTTAAGTACAAATCCCTTTAACTTTGTTGCTGCTGCTCCGGCGACTGTACTGCAGCCTGTGTCACTGCAGCCACTGATACTCCAGCTCCAGCTCCAGCTCCTGCTCCTACTCCTGCTGTTGCTGTAGCGGCAGCTGCTGATGGCTGCTGYTGTTGTGCCGGCGATGGCGGTGGTCCAAACTTGCTAGTTATCTTGTGCGAGGCATTGACAATAGCCAGCTCATGCTTGGAATCCAAATCACAATCGTAAAGACCGCTGAGCGAGTCCAGGCTGAGCAGGCGCGAGCTGGCCCGACTCGACACCGAGGTGTCATCCACATCGGGTGCATTATACAGCGAATTGACGTCCGACAGAGCGCCCTCGGCATCGGTCAGGCCCGCCTCGTTCAGCAGCGAAATATTCTCCAGGCCAGGCTCATCCGTTATGTAGCCTGTTGACTCCGCGCCACCTGAGATGGAGAGAGAGAGGAGAATGGTTAAGCACTGCTATAGACGATCTTCTTTCAACTTGTTACCTGTGGCCTCTTCGCGACAATCATCGTCCGACCATTCCGACTGGCTCTCAAGCGGATTGGAGTCCATGGACTGGTGGTTATGATGCGCCGCACCATACTTCAACTCATCGTTTATCACATTCTGCTCGGAGCGCAGGCTGCCATTGGTCAGCGGCGCTGTCTCCCCCCTCAGCTGTTCCTGTTCCAGCTCTTCCTGTTGCTGCTGCTCCAGTTCGTCGTTGTGCGCCTGCTGCTGTTGCTGCTGTTGCTGCTGCTGCTTGTCGTTCTTTAACTTATTGTGCTCGCTCTGCAACAGGCGCTTCTGTCGCACATCACGCCCAACCTCATCATCCTCGAACTCCTCATCAGCCAGGTTGTCCTCCGTATCATCGCGTTCCTCCTGCTCCACATGATTGGAGCGCTGCTGTTGCTGTCGCTGCTGATGGTGGTGATGGTGGTGGTGATGCCGCTGTCGCTGCGATTGTTGCTGCTGCTGCTGCTGCATCGAGCCATCCAGCCGGTCGAGACTCTCGTAGCTGTTCTGTAGTTCCTTGGAGCGCGGGCGCTGTCGGTACGATCTCTGCTGCTGTTGTTGCTGCTGCTGGTGCTGCTGTTGCTGCAGCTGCTCCTTGGCCGCATGCAGCTCGAGCATGGCCAGCGCTTGCATCTGACTGCGAGTCTCGTGCAATATCTCGCAGGATTCCGTGTCCGAGGTTTGCCTGCAAAATGGTAAAACTTATTAATTTCTGGCTTTTCAAGTCACTCCAGTTAATTTCCTTACAAATTTCTTTGCTGTAAGCAAAAGGTTACAAAATTAAACCCATTTCATAATCATAATCCCAAGCATTATCATCTAGCTGAATTGAGTTCTTAACTAACATCATACGAGTACTTTTAGGATTAGAAGTAGATAGAAAGGAATCAATGCTTTTGCTGCTTGTGGGAGCTGTGGATTCATTCGTGTATCCTGGAACAAAGTCAAGTATTGTCTTGCGCCTCATATGTGTGTGTGTGTGTGTGCGTATCTGAAGTTTGATCTGTTCCACAAACCCAACGATGGATACTTCGCCTCATAGACAGGAGTATAACTAAAGAATGTGTTTAGAGCTTGAGAGCAAGCATGGGCTATGGACAATGGGCAATGGGCAATGGGGATGAGAGTGGCTGCTGCTTGGTATTAGAAACATATGGCGAAACGGAGGGCAGTTGCATGGGCCAATGGGTTATAGGTTAGGCTGGCATGTTTTGCTGCTATGGCTTTACTCACATTTGACTGGACTCGGAGGGGTTCTTGTGGCGCGTTATTTCCTTGATGGCCTCAAGGCCGACGGGATGCTTCGATATCATGAAGCTGCTGCTCATGGGCAGCTTGCCGTTCGCCTGCATCGCCATGGCGATCAGTTCCTGATCCTGTTGCAGCTCCTTGTGGTAGTTGTTGTTGCCGCTATTCGAGTTGCTGCCACCGCTGAGATTCCCATTGCTGCTCGATCCGCCTTCGGTCATTCCCTGGCCCTGGACCTGGCCCTGGCCCTGCGCATGCCCATTGATGGAGCTCAGCTTGCTGTTGCTCGCCGAGTAGCTCAGATCGCCAGTGGGGCGACCACTGCAATTGCTGGTGGTTTGATCGGTATTGATCGTTGCCGCCGTCGAGGCCGAGACTGCGGCCAGGCAACGGGCTCGCGTCGATTCGTTGAGCAGTCTTTGCAGTTCCCTCTCAAAGGGCGACTTGGTGGCTGTCACTGCAGCATTGCCCGCTGCACCCGCTGCCGACAGCGACACCGCCGCGCCCACGCCCACGCCCGCCTTCTTCTGGTAGTCAAAGCTGTTGCAGCTGTCGCCTTTGGGCTGCGTGTTGCTCGTCGTGTTGCTGGTGGTCAGCTGGCCCTGGCTTTCGGTCGTCGAGCTGAGCTCGAAGTCGCGCAGCTGCGTCATGTCCACAACGGGCGATGTGGGATCCACTTGTATATCGCAGGGATAGAGCCATTGCAGCGGATTGACGCGGCCCACATTGTAGCCGATGCCCAAGCCGATGCCGTTGCGCTGCAGATGGCCGCCATTGATGCGCGGCGAGTCCTCGTCGCCCTCGCCCTCACCCTCGGTGGTCTTCGAGTAGCTCTCGTCCGAGCTGCTCATCGACGGCGAGTGCGGCCGTGAGCTGAGATCATCGGTCGATGACATCTCGCGACTCTCCTCCATATCGTTTGGCAGCTTGGGCAGCGGCTTCAAGTAGCTTCTCAATGCCGGCTTCGGTGGCAGCTGCGGCAGCGGAGGTTGCTGCGAATAGAGCGCATATTGGCGATCCGACTGTTGTTGTTGCTGCAGTTGCTGTTGCTGCTGTAGTTGCTGTTGCTGCTGTAGTTGCTGTTGCTGTTGCTGCTGCTGTTGCTGCTGCTGCATTGACAACACGGAGTTGGGACAGGTGTAACGTGGTGGCTCGTACTTTGGCGCATGCTGCATGGGCATGATCTAGGTGTTAGTCGTGAGTGTGGGCGTGGTGCGATAGCATGCAAAAAGTGGAACAGAGTTAGAGACACACAAATATTCAAAAACTTACATATATAGATATATACATATATATAGAAACTATCAATTATGGGTCAGCATCCACAAGCGTTGGCAATAGAGTTTCCATAATAATGAATGGGTTTTCTTTGCGCATGTGTGTGTGTGTGTGTGTGTGTGGGTGGCGGATTTGAGAGAAAACTTATTTCTTATAGATCTACCGAGAATATGTTACCATAGAGAGCATATTCTATATGATAATACTATTCATATTGATTCCTTACTGGGTTTGCTAACCTTATAACAATATTTAAATGCTCACATAGAATTTAATTTTTTTTAAATGAGTCTAAAAAAATAATCAATATACCCATTTCACTTCCATGAATGAGTATAAACAGGCCCTTCAATATATAATATTTGTATCCTAGAAAACTGTTTAGAATTTTACTAAACTCTGTTGTCCTGCAACTGATATATAATGTATATATAAATAAACTTAACTCCTGCCAGGGTTTGACATCTAATAGAAAATTTAAATGCTTTAAAGGTAATACAATTTCTCTATATGTATATACATGATAATAAGCTGGAAATATACAGTTTCTTACAAAACATTTACATAGATTTTCATATTCTAGCAATAAACAAAATTTAGATCTTCAATAGAATATTTATCATAAGCTCATCAGTATAAGCTCCGAATATTTATTTTCTAACTAAAAAATGTTAATTTAACAAGTAAATATGGAATGTTATAAACAATTTACTTGCTTATGAACAATATACATTTAATATCAAAGTATCCTCATTATTTTAAGCCCTGGATAAATATCCAGGGATAAAATA